GGTGAGGAATGTTCAGCAAAATATGGCATACATTTTATTAATATGTTTATCCTGTTGCAGTCAAAAGCAAAAAGGAACAAGATTATTTGTTGTTTAAAACGTTTGCTCTAACCTGCTGATTATTTTGTTTGTGTTCCAGGAATATCCCTCCAAATGAGGAGACAGTCCCTGTCAGAAGGGCTGTTTGACACTTGGAAAATAACTCAATGGTCATGTCTGGCAGCCTCCCCAGTTGCCTCTTCTGCAACCATCTCCTGCCCTTGTCCTAGAGAGATGTTAAAATCTTCCAGAGTCTACAGTGAACTCAAGTTTTTTGTCTGTAAAAGAAATAACTGGGGAAGAGTGAGTGACAGAGAAGGAGGAGACATAAAAATTTGCAAAGCTGAAAAGAAAAAGAATGATAATGCCGCCATTAATTTCACTATCGCTTGTGCAATGCATATTACTTCTTCTGAAGCATTTCACTAAATCGTTACAATTTCAACAAGCAAAATTGCAAGCTCTCAACAGTGGCCTTATTGCTGGTATTCGAAAAAGACTGCAGAAATCTGTTCCCTTGGTTTTAAGATAATGAACCTTTTGACATTTTGATAGATGCTCAGCATTGTTACTGAGCTTTAGAAACTCTTACAGGGAGTACATAGCAATTCCCTTATGAAAAAAAGAGCAACATGTGGTAGATATCACATCAGCTTTTTAACTGATTGGTTCAGTGGGTAAATGCACAAGCCTCTCACCTTGTGAGGTCTGAGTTTAAATTGAGCACAGTGAGGTCACAGCTGTATTAACCTGGTATTCTCACTATTGTCTGTGGGGAATAGTAATCCTAAGAATAAAGCCACAGAGCCCTGTACAATTGAATGTAGTTTGTATAATGACCGTTATTTAGTCACAGGGGGCACAAAATTACATGAGCATGAAGGAAATTGCCCTCTGGCCCTCATCTAGTCAAAAGGTAGAAAACAGTACAAAGGAAACCTGCATTATGCCAAGCAGAGGAATAATACTTGGTCTCAAAAATTTTTCATACTATAGTAGTGCTTATAGCCTTACACTTTTCATCCACCACATCTACCATGAATATGGGGGTGTGGGGTGGAGGAGAAACTTTAGAACTTGAATCTTCTGCTGAAAATAAACTGCCCAACTTTCCCATAGTAATACATATTCCATTGTAGTGACAGATGATTCCAGAAGACTTTGTTCTGTTTAGTAAAAATACACTCAATATGTATGTGTACGAGCACATACACACAAGTGTATAATCATGTATAAATTTATCTACATTTCCAGCCCTGCATGCTCCATTTCACTTTCAAGTGCCCCCCCCCGAGCATTTACAGCATCATATGAGAGTTTTGAAGTTTTTGAATGGCCTTTTAATGCTGTTGAGACTTGTTTGCTGATTGTGATAGGGATCACCATGTTGGCATGTATACAGAGTGTATTTTGCCCACGACTATTTTGTCTGTTTTCAGAAGTTAAGCAGAGTCAGGTTTGGGTCTTGTCTGGGGTTAAACAATGATGTAGGAAGACCAAGAGATTTTCTCTGAGGCTGGACAGTCATGAGTGGCAGGGTGTGTGGGACAGTATGGGCAAGTATCTAGGTCAGTGGGCCCCTCCAGTACTTTGGAATTTCACCACGGAACAACTGCAAAATCCAGAAGAATTAGTAAAGCACTTAAATGAGGTGTGTGGTCATTCTGGCCATACCAGAGACGGGCAAATCATGGCAACGTGCTGGGGCTTGGCCTATGCTTACAGGGCCATGTTCAATGCTTTCCAGCACCTTCAAAAGGAAAAATTGTCGCTGGGTCTGAGGGCAAAGCAACAGTCAGTACAGCTACTCCAGCTCCAAGCACAGCAGCTAAACCACCTGCCGAAGAACGAGTCCGACCCAGCACAACCCCTGTCCTTCCAGGTCACTCCCAGTTCCCTCCTGGGCATGACATGCTGTGGTATGGAATACCTCTTTGGTCAGTTTGGGTCAGGTGTCCTGTCTCTGCTTCCTCCTGGCTTCCCCTCCTCCCTGGCAGAGCATGAGGCTCACAAAGTCCTTGGCCAAACCAAAACATCGTTATCAGCTCTGTTCCCAGTCTGAAGATCAAAACACAGCACTGCACCAGCTACCAAGAAAGAGAAAAAAATGACTGCTACTGCTGAACCCAGGACATTATCAAAAGGGAGTCTCATACCAGTTGCAAGACACATGAGATAATGGTCTGTGGTGGATACTCCCGAAAAATCTCCTAAAAGTCCCGATCCCCAGAGACCCTTTTTGTATAGCTGGCTACTCCTTCCGATGTAGGCTGGCCCCCTACATTGGAATGAGTGTGCCCTTTAGCTAGCATAAAAGCCTGAGACTCATGCAATGCAGAGAGTCAGAACCTCGTATCACCCAGGTCAACATTGCCTTAGCGGGGGCGCCCAATAAGGTTGAGCCTGCCACCTCGCACTGCAATGATGTCTCTCAGAGATTATTTCCTGATTGTCATCACATGTTCTTTGGGATTGGTAAGATAAACACTCACCGAAAATATCCATCACTGTTTCTTTTACTCTTTGCTGGCTCTTCCTCCCTATCTTTTCCTACAGCAATAAACTAGTTTTTTTTTATCCATTGTGTTTTGCCTCCCTCTCAACCTGGAATGCTTGAACTCTGGAACAAAGGGAGTCCTGAAAAGTTGTCATTCCATGCGGGTAGCTACCAGCCCTAATGGCATAATGAGAACTAACACTTAGAAACATTTTTTTTTTAGCTGTTAATAGCGTAACTTTGTATATTTCCATTTATTAATGCACACTCTCCTCATGGTACCTACATGCAATCTAAAAGAAATAACAAGCACGTTCTCCGAATATGCTGAGACTCATGTCTTACCACAGTATCTCTTCATAAACTCTTCACCAGCAGAACAGGCTAAGAATAACACTCACTGATTTCAAATTCTGATCGATCACCCAATTTTATAAGTTATTTGGCTAAGATCTGAGTTTTCTCTGTGATGACACATACAAGCTACTGTCACACACACCTGCCCTGAAAGACATGCCCTTCAGATTTCATACCTAAGTGCATATGACATTCTGTCCAGGTGGAGTTCCCTCAGTAAAATTAGTTTTTCAAGAAAGCTTTTGTTTATCCGTTCTTCGGGAAGCTTTTCCTTTTCTGGACATTGTGAGTCTACCCACTTATTTCACCTCTTGGTGGATCTTTCAATATCTATCTATCCCCCTAATACATCCATCACTGCCATAGACTGGAAGACTGTGCTAAAGACAAATACAGATGGTGTACCTTCTGTGTGAAGACTGAAATGGGAAGACAAATGCAGATACTTTGGGAAGTACATAAAAAAAACACAATGTAACCAATTACAAGGGAGTCAGGATTTAGCTTAAAATACTAAAATACGTATATATATGCACATAAAAATAATATTATTTATAAGAGTTTACTTTGGCCAGTATTGCCATACTGTCTGCTTGTTAAACATCAAGGTATGACAAAGTGGAAACCTCATATGGAACATATATTACAGTGAGGAGTCGTATGAAGATCAAAATTTTATTTTAAGAAACTGGACAAATGATGGCAAACCAGAATTTCCTCACAACGCACAATACACTATGTCTAAGGAAAAATATGCTTTTAAAGTGTATTTAAGCAAAGTGTTCTTAAGCAAGGACAGCTCCTCTTTAAAAGAATCACTAGTTCTACTAAAAATTAGGGTGCAATGTATGGCTTTATCTGAAATTGTCTACCTGTAGCATGCCTTCAGAAATAACATCACAAAGGATTTAGAACTGAAAAGCAATTTTCCCAGCAGACCTTAATGGCACTCCATGACTGAGTAGTTAAAAAGTAACAGGACCCTTGCAGGTGTGTTCAACTCTAAATCAAAGAAGGAAATCCAATCCAAGGAGTTGTATCTCTTTAATTCTTAGAAGAATCTTCACAGCGTACAAAATTGAGAAAGGTCAACTTGCTTCAGAGCCACTTCCACCTTACAGTATTCACTGCTCAAAGTATTACTGAATAGGGAGTTCAAAGCAACAAGGATTTCTATGGCTGCATTTTTTTTAAATTCTGACATAAGAATTTACATCTTGCCTCAATGATATTATGAAATGTTTATTTGAAATCTATTGCAAACGGAATTATATTCTTAGAAATTAGTTACCAAAGGGTGTGACAATTTTTTTCAGAACCATTCCTACATACAAAAAGAACTGAACTTTCCTTTACCTTTTAAAAATGACACCATGAAAACTAAACACAACCTGCCAGTGAAGATTTTTTTGCAGAAAATATAACTGCATATATATATGTATATACACACATTATATTTTTATATATGATAATACATTTACATACAAATTCACTGAAATTTAAAGATGAGCTAACCAACAACAGCAGTTATTTTTCTTCAGCTTGTGGGAACAAACAAACATAAATATGTAAATCTTGCACGCTGAAGTTAACCTCAGACAAATTTAGTTACAATTATTTTATGCTAATAATACTGAAAAAATTACAGATTTGTGAATTCCACCTAATTATCTCTTGTATCTTTTTCCTGTCTCGGAAGATAGAAAGAACAACAAATAGTGCACATCTGTTTCTATCACCATTCTAAGCCTCTTCAGACTGCAAATTTTCACAAAGCTTTTGGGAAATTTGCTAATCCCGAGTGGTTTTTGTTGTTGGGTATTTTGGGGGGTTGTTTTACACTAAAGCAGTTCCAGCATATGAGCTGGAGTTTTTACGAAATATTTTAGTTTTCCAGGTTTTTATGAGGTATTTTAGTTTTTTGTCACTTTAACCATAGTGGGAAAAAGAGACACCTTTGCCATGATGCCATATATTCTCTTTCCTTTTTGATATATCTTCATCTATCAAAAGCCTCCTCTCTTTCCAATTAAAAATATATTTAATAAATCAGAAGTTTATTGTGCCCTTTACTCTGTTTTCTGTGTACCCTGTAATTGGGATTGAGTCAACTTTTCACTTGCTGTACAGATTTCCATTCCTTATGATCCATCCTAGTACCACTGCTACAAAAAAAAAAAACCCAACATTTAAGCAGAACTACAAAGCTCAGTGATATGAATAAATCCATCTGTACCATGATGCAGAGAAGTCATTACCAGTTTTGTCTCTCCCTTCCCTTTTTTTCCTCTTCCAGACATTTCTGACAGCTTTTTACCCCCTTTTATATACTGTGTAGGGTGATTTAATTTTTTCTATCCCTCTTCAAATCATATTCCTCAATTTTTTGCCTTCTTCCTAAATTGTTGGTTTCTATTTTAATTCCTACCTCTGTGGTAACAGAGGTAGCAACCACCTCTGTGATATAACCTCTTTTAGAGCAAGCTTTTCAGGTTAAAACCTGCCCCCAGTACAACTGAGCCCTGTTTTTTTTCTTTCAGAGCATAGAGATACTAAAGTTAAAAAGAAAAATAACACCCTGAATGTGGTATGGATATGTATAATTTACTGAATTCTTACTTTACATACCACATCAGTTTCAACCCTATGTATCCAACCAAAAGCAGGTAAGTCATGCCATTTATCCTCAGTGTAGCTTTGTGAAGTGATTGCAGCATTTTAAATCAAAAGAATTACATAAAAGCATCTTTGGAATTTCTACAGTTATTACTGATACTGAAGCAGCAGTCACATGGTGTGAAGAACTAAACAGCTACAAGGTAACGATAACTTGCTTGGGAAGAGGTATTACCTTCTAGTGAAGAGACAACAAAGCCAGTAAATATCAACATCATTGATCTGAAAATTTTTTGTCACCTGAAAAGGTGTTTGGGCTAAGGAACTGAGCTGATCCTTTTAAAAATGTCCTTGGCTTGTGAAAAGAAAGGCTGAATATGTGACAGCTTATCTCAGGTTAGACATATGACACTGAATATCCCCTGATTTTTCAGCCTGCTTAATTTGTGGGAGACTGCATTGAAGACCTGAAAATAAGTACCATTATTTTAATTTATTTGAATTCTGCTTTTTTTCTTTTTCACCTGTAAGATAAGCTGACTGCAGGCTTCTAAGAAGAGCTGGCATAAGCAACCTAAAATGCAAAGCACTTCTGCCAAGAGGCTTTTGAGGAAGCTTTCCACAAACTAGTGGTGAGGGCTGCAAATGCCAGTACTTTTCTGCTTCCTTATTTAGCTCAGTAGGCAGAACCTTTCCCTTAAGCAAACTGCTAATTTGCATTAGATCATTTGGTAGATTTGCTACAGTGAATTCAGAATCTCGCAAAACTCTTCCTACCTGACCTTGCTGGATGACTTAATGTAAGGAAAGTAAACTTTGCAAGAACATTCAGAAAGCACAGTCAGAATAAAGATAGTTGACAAAGACATCTGTGGGATTGTACTGCATTCCCATGAATGCTGCACGATCAGCAGGTCACATCATGTTCTCCTTTGTCAGACACACAGACCTGAAAATGTAAACACCTGGTACAAGCGATAACTAATATATCAGACATCACTGCTGGAAGAGGAATTCTGTTCCTTGCACTTTGAAACCAAATACAGCAAGATGATAAATTTTTACCTTCAGTGAAAACTGGTAGATGGGGTTCGAGCTGCGCAGGCTGCTACTAACAAAGTAAAGAATGGACACTCTTACAGCTGTTGATCTGTAGTGCTCTCTTGTCACGTTAACCTGAGATTCATTTTCTCTGCCTTCAGCTTCCTATAGGATGACAATTGTGCTTAGTTTTTAGTGCACCCTGATTATCCCACACAATTACCAACATTTTCCTATCCATACAAAAATGCATATGGATATACTCTAGAAAACGGACTTTTTCACAGAGTAGCAAATATTTAAGGTAATCAAGCTTTTTATCTTAGACAAACATTAGAGAACAACTGTTTTCTGCAGCAATATGCCTGTTTACCTGTGAAATTATGGTAATCATATATGAATACATTTGTTCATACTCCATGCTGATACTTACTTCTTTTATGAGTTCTGACTCAAGCACTTCAGTCAAAAAGAAAAACACCCATGAATATATGACAATTACATACCAGAAATACAGAACTCTGAATGAGTGGGTGGACAGCCCTTGCTGTACAGAGATGGATTTGACTCTTCTTAGCTTATAGAAATGCTTCATTAAAATAATTACTAACACACACCTTATAGGTGACTTCAGGTGGTTAAAAATAATTCCATTGTTATTACCTTGTGCTGTATTTCTGCTGCAGTCGACTTTGTTGATTTGAGTTTCTCTACAAGTTCACTGTTGTCTAAGAAGCTCCCTTGGGAAGCTGACAAGCTGAGCAGCATGCCATCCTCCAGTGACCTGAGCTCAGTCTTGAAATTATTCTGCTGCTTGGCCAGGATGGACTAGCAGAGGGAATGAAAACTCTGCATTTAAACAACCACAGCCAGAAATTCTGATTTATACCATTTGTGAGCTATAATTTCTGTTTAATTGCATTATTTGATTTAAATTCTGAAAGAGACAGTTTATCTTCTGTCCCAAAACACTAGAACTAAGGTTCTGAGACACACAAAGAGAGATGGTCAAGGTCTCCTAGCCTCCTTCCTCCTCAGACCACATGAAAGCACTGGTCTCTTCCAGATATGGAAAGTGGTAATCTATGTGACAGCTGAGAAAATCAACAATAGCACAAGGCTAGAAAACCCCACTTCATCAGCAAGCAGTGGGGGAAAGCATGGTCATAGTCAGGTCTGCTGGCTTGACGTTCTGACAGTTAAATAGACTTATAGCTAAATCTCCATCAGACTCTGACCCTCACACCAAACCCCCCTAGGTGATACAGGTGCTGTAAGCATACAGCGCCATGTAGAACAACATGCAGATACAGAGGAACATGGCTTTCAGATCATGTTCCCAATTACATGGCTTTCAGTCTGCAAGGGGTAATTAAACCTCTCTGACCCAGTTTACCTTTGCATGAAGCAGCAGTACCTCAAAGAATTGTAGCAAATCTTTGTGAATGAGGCTAGTAAATCACATGAGATAGCTGGGAAGACACACTAGAGAAATAGGAAATGTTCTTATTCATTTCACCCCCTTAAGTGTTTTTTTTTTTTTTTCATTTTTTTATCTCATAGTTCACAGTCTGCTCAAAGTCCTTTCTACAACCAGCTATAAAAGTATTTCTCTTCATAAGTTTCCATACACTGGCATGCCTGCAGCAGCCACAGAACTGCATCTTTGCAGGAATAAATTATGATTTATTAATCAAGTGACCCAGGTCCTAACAATGCCATCATATCTTCTTATGGACTGGCATGAAATTTTATTCACTCTTATTGGCTCAAGATCACTGAAGCACAAAGCAGGCCAGAGGGCTTTAGTCCTGCAGTGTAAATTAAATGCAATGCATAGAGCAAACCAAGCAGTAGAGAGAAGTGTGAGAATAAAATCATGATTAATTTAATTTCAAGCAGAGTTTTAGGTCAAGCCTAACCATCTGGGAGCATGGATTTGAGCAAATCAGTAGAAGTACCTGCTATCCATTGCAGAATCTGGTCCTTAAGGTCTTTCTAACAGATGGGTTACTCACAATTACTGTACAGCAGATCCAAATAGGCACATTAATACTAGTCTCAAAATCTCAGGAGGGCCGATGGACAGGTCAAAATATAGTCTTTACCTTACATTTTTCTAAGTCTGGCCTTTCAGCACTGACAATCTTAGCCAACAGCTGGTCTTCTAGCCCATCCCTGGTGACAGTGAAATTAATGAGGATGGTCTAAGTCTGCAGTTCCAGCTTGTAGAGAGGGTGACTGAAATAACAAAAATAATTTTTAAGGCAATCTGCTAAATGTTGTGTTCCAAAACAAGTATTTGCTGGGCGAAAGAATGAATTATACTAGGTTCACTTTTTATTCACTGAACACAATGCCTTAGTCTAGACATGTCATTTCCTGACCTATTGCCTTCCATGAGAGTTGTCAGCCTGTTCCACATAGCAACACTACTACTGCTGGAATACCAGTAGTACTTCCTACTTCTATGGCTCGGCACCTAAAAAAATCAAAAGACTGCTTATAGACTGCAGTGTGTGCTACAGAGCAAGTGCCACAACTTTTTGTCATCTGCTTGGACAGTGAGCATGTATGCCAGTCTTCAGCCACTGCCTGTCACACATGAGCACAAGTAGTCTATTTTAATGTACAGCAATAGCTTTGAATGTTCTCTGCCATAAAGAAAATCCAAACATTAGCAGCAAAACTGTGTTTAAAAGAAGTCAGTAGAACATTTATGCAATGGAACATAGGTAGACACAAACCCTTTTCAGAAAATTCAAAATTTCTATTTGTTAAGTTAAATCAATCTTGAAAGTGATTGCAATAGTATAGATACTAAACACTTAAAATGCAATTCATGAAATGAAATTAACACCAGAACATGAATAAAAGTATTTTCTGTACAAATTTTAAGTCAGGAACATATATTTCAGCTCTTAGCATCCTTGCCTGTTTCTGACATCCCCTTAGCCAGAAGACACAGGCTAGATGAAATGGTATGCTGAAAGCATTTCTGCATTTCACCAAGGATCAGGAAGAAAAGACAGTCACTTGTCGTATACTACAAGTGAAGTCCTAAAAATAGGCTACTATGTGTAGTTTTAGGAAACCCATGACTCTACATAACTCAGTCTCAGGTGTGTGCCTTAAATCGAACTGCCATGCAAACTACTGTATATGAGTTTTCCTGGCTTATGCTTGTATAGTTATGAAGTAATTTAGTCATGCAGTCATGTCCTTCAGACAATACAACCTTTCTCAGCTGGACATGAATTAACCTTCGAGTTCTGCACATGGACTTCAATTCTGATACTGTGGTCTCTCCACAGCCTTCAAAATGAACTACAGCTGGAAGGAACCTATCAGTAGAGTCTGACTCACAGAGAGAAATTTTACCTCACTTTCAATACATATGCAGAGAGACAAGAGACAAGCAGAGATCTGACACAGGATAACTTTTTCAGTTTGCTTTGTCAGCAGAAAAACCCTTACTAAGGAAGTCACACTGTATTTCAGAAGGTCTACGTGGCAACATAATAAGCTTTAGAGTTCTGGATTCAAGTTCTTTACGGGTTCAATTCGCAGAAGCAATAAATTACCAATTTCTGTGATTATCATCTATGAAAGGCAAAAATTATATAATGACTAAATGGGTTTTATTACTGAAGCTGTTCTAGGTTTTCTGTTAATTACATATCTGGGAAAAATAAATGTTATTGCTTTCACATGGTTCAAGGAGGATAAGCAACAGTGATAAACACAGAGGTGGGGAAACCCAGTAGAACAGCTTCATTTTTTTTTCCCAGTGAAATGTATCTATTTAGAGATTTAGAGGTTAATTCTGAAGAAATGTAGCAGGTATAGGCACTATTTATGGACCATGATAGAAGGCACATTTATATATATAGAAAAAAGGTCACCAAAGAAGTTACTAAAGACAAGTTCTACTTTGGTGGTTTTTCTACATAATCTTCATTTCCTCATTCCACCAGCAGAGGCAGACAGAATGGACTGAATGCACCATTCTACCCAGGAGAAAACAGAGCCTCTTTTGTCTCATCTCTATCTCCTTGTTATTTAAGAGCATACACAGTAAATTAAAGAAAGATTGTTCTCCACAAGTTTTTGGTTTTATTTTCTGTTGAAATTTTTGTAGACCTTGAAATAAGGGAATCACAGAGCACTTCAAAAATCCTGTATGCACTTTGAGGAATAACAGATTTTTAGCAAAAACAAACAATACAACCAAATAAATTTCAGAAGCTAACACAAGTATTAAACTCGCAGCTATAAGAAGTCTGGGAACAGTGGAACATCTTGTCTCATCTGTCAAAATCTGAGTTATCAGCACAAAGACCTGTTTTTCTTTTGCATATGTGCTGCCTAAGGAAACATTGACTAGGTCATTCAAAGATGGGATCTCATGAGGACAAAAAAAATACTGAGTATAGGAACATGACTTCATGTCATGAAATGCCACAATAGTTTATACAAAAGCTTTTCTTAGCAGATATTTGAATGCAACTCAAAATCAAAAAGACTATCTTTCAAGGCAGATGTTCTCCAAAATATTCTCTGACTCTAAATGGCAGACAGTAGCGTAGCTCCCCATAGCTAAAAGTTTTCTATAAGGTCAGCAAGAATGAAAAGAAGTGATAAAATTTTGGACAGAAAAAGAAAGGGAAACAATATTTTTCAGTGTGAAGAAAGAGGGATAAACACTTTTTCCAAAGGAGCCTTCTTTCAGTTCCTGCTGCTTAAAATTAAAAGCTTCTTGAACCAACTTGCAAAATCCAACAAGTAATGTAGAGAATGAAGTTGAATAAATTGAGTGGAAACAACTGCAGAGTGGAGCTGTTACTAGGCAATCTCAGTAGGCAAATGGTGCAAGCTGGTCGAACTAGTTCAGTGGAAAAAGCACTGCCTTAAAGTCACACAGCTGGCGAGACATTGAAGGCAAGGAAAGCTTCTCCCTGTGGAGAAACAGAGTGAATTGTCTTGCTGTTCCATGAATAATAGTCATGCCTCACAATAATGGAAACTTGTTCATACAAGCTACATTTGCACATAAATCAAATTTCAAGGCATTTCAAAGAATCTTGTAATAAGCTAATCTTGCAATTGACGAGGTGGACTATCACTTTGCGAATGTGCAAAGGGTTTGAGCAGGTGTAACAGCTCGTGTGAATGCAAATAGGGGCCTTCTGAACAGTGAATTTATTCCTCTATCTGCTTTCCTATGAGTCAAAATGAAATTGATCTATTATAGTTAATGCTCGTATCCAGTGATCTCCAAAACAATAGTGCTGGGGAGATAGGAAACACACAGATAATCCTCAAATATTAGAGCCTATCTGTACCAAACATATTCAATGACATCATTACTCTTAGAGCAGGCAAGGACCAAAACCCAACACTGTACAGAACTGGCACCTGTTTATTTGACTTATCTGCTTCAGAAAATCTAAGTACATGCATTTTGAATCATTTTTGTATACAATGCTAATAAGCTGCATCCAAATTTTACTTTTTTTTTTTAATTGTGACTTTTATGCTTATATAAAGCTATATAATACAACCGATATTTTTTGAAATTATTTTATTCTGTCTTTTCTCCCTCTTCTTAAAATATTCTAAAATATTTTAACAAAAATATTAGCATTTTAAAAACATTTTGAACATGAGATCACAGTTTAAAGTATATTAAGACACACTGATCAGGTTGGCAGCTCCAAAATTAAAATTTAAAAAAATCTAAATTTGAACACCTAAGCTTGTTAGGCTTCTAAATATATAATAAGGCAGTAAACAAAAAGTCTGATTTTCAGGTAACAAGTACCTGTATTTCAGCCTATGATCACCCATGTTTTGAGGAAAATAAATATGTATGTATATTTGAAGTTCTCTGAAGGTGAGAATTTCTTTTGCAAGCTTTATTCAGAAAAAAAATCAGAATATGGCGTTACAGAATATCAGTGAGTCCAGTACAAGAACAATCTTGGTAAACATGGAAGGAGAGATACTTTTATGAAGCTGCTTCACAGATCAGTAAGTTCTCTAAGATGCAGGCTAGTAAATTTGCTTTGGAAGAAGTACAAGCTGATAAAACTCCCTTGCTATGCTTCCTGTCAATAGATATGATAAGATACATTTTACTTAAAATTAGGATTGTCTGAATCTCAGTGGATTTAATTATTTGTAATTATACAGTTGTCAGTATGTGGCCATTTTACGACAGTGGTATCTACTGTGTGGGTCAGGTTCAACGTATATCTTTTCAAACACAGAATTAATGTACTATTGATGAAACCATTACTAGAACCAAATTAAAGTCTGAGCTGATGTATTGGTCTACATGGTGCTGTCAGACATTAAAGGAGTAATTAGTATTCATTACTTCATACTCTGCAACATTCCAATTATTGATGAACTTCAACTGCTGAACTGCACAATATCTATCACAAATACCTTTCTAGTCTTTCTTTATTGGGACAAAAAAAAATTCAAAGTACCTGACACAACTAGTAAAATAAACAAATAACAAAATTTAATCCAGAACAAGAAAAACTCTGCTTATTTGTTGATAAAGGAGTATATATACCATTAGTACCCCATAAAGAAGACCCGCCTCATCATTAGTGAGCCACAGAATGTTAGGTCATATAATGCCACTTAAAATATTCACCAGAAGAACCTATATTTGAATAGCTCCATATATTTGTGTTTGTGTGTACAGCTCTGTTGTGTTATATGGAAATCTTTGCTAAGTAAATGAAAAATTATATTGTTGTGATCTTCTTTTCAATCCAACTTCTTTTTATTTATTTACATCCTTCTCATGTCTTAAGGAACTGTTACCCTGCGCAACTTCTGATCTCTCTTTTAGACCAGTATAATTTTAATTTTCAGTAGAGTTTTTTCACTACAGATACTAAAAAGCAATCTACATGGTCTTACCCTGAAGTACTCCAAATACCACTGCAGAAAAATGTAACAAAGAGGAATCTTTTCAAGATGCCACAGTGCAGGGAAAAAGTGCATCTTCCAGGAGCTTCATGTGTGCAAGAAGATTTGAGCTGTTGTGTATTGCTTAGATTTACTGCGCAGGCACCAATGCCTGAAGCATGGATGGGGGGGAAAGAGGGAGCGATAACTTGGGTAATCTGTCCAAAAATAGATATAATTTTTATTTCACTTTTCTTTCATATTTTCTCTTTTTAAAACCTGAAACTATGCAAGCACTCTAAACACTCTTTGAATAACATTTGACACTCATCCAGAAATACTTCAGTGGTATTCTCTGACTTTTCTCAGAATAAACATCATACTCTTCAATATCACACACAACATGTCAGAACATAACATTACTCTCCCTTGTACCATCTACCAATCCTACCACTCCTACCACTGCAGTGTCAGAACAGGGAAAACACTAATTCAGCCTTGCCTTACCAAATTCAAATCTGAATTTCCCACATGAACGCCCAGCTACAGACCTCTGAGGTGAAGCTCACATGGGCATCAATGCTCTAAGCCCTTCCACTGGGAGGGAGAGGTCAGAACAGCCCCTGCACTCAGGTCTGTGGAATACTTGCATGAGAAATAGGTCACAAGAGTTTTGATGCTAGCAGACTAGGTTTCTGGGTAAAATTAGAAAGACAATAACACCACAATTACATCTGTCTCAATGGATTTGTGAACGCTGTCAAATGGAGTGGTTTGATGCATGGCATGTTGGCAGCAATACTGATGGAAAGAGCCCCCCCCTCTCTAGCTTGATATTTCTGCCCTGTATTGTTCGCATTTTAAACCAGTTCATTCATCTGGTTTCAGTGTTTCAGAGTGGCCCAGAAACAAACTATGGCAACAAACTGCAAAGTAGAGGCACAGTTTTCTTAAGCTGGTATTAAAGCTGGAAAACCTTATATTGTTAAATCTAAATCAGGCTAGATTTAACCATTTCCAATACTTTCCTTTTGCTAAAGATGCATAACTTGGAAATGAAATAATTTATTTTCTTTTGAGCCAAATTGTAATATGTATACTCCCTGTTTTGTTCCTTTTTTGAAGTAAAATAAAAAAGATTTTCACTTTGGGTTGAGAAACTCACATGCATGTCTATATTGTATTCAAGCCAAACTTGTGAACTGGGAAGAGAGTTTTGTTATCTAATCAGATACAGATACTAACATTTTAATACCTACTCATCATCAGTTTTCAACCACTGCATATTAAAAAAAACTTCATGAAGCGTTATGACACAGTAAGCAAAATATGGCAATCAAGAAAATGTAGATCTGGTTGTCATGGCAAAATTCTTATTACTCAAGTATACTTACTTTCCCTTTTTATCTGTACGTCTTCCATGCAAGGATGGGATCAATAATTTCACACGTTTTTGATTAGTATAGTCTCTCCACAAGCCAAAGTTCTTTCAATGGTCTTCAGAAAACTTAATATGAAAAATAAAAAACCTCCCTCAAATATTAGATAAATGCTAGTTATAGAAAGATTTCTCTTATATAATAGGAGTTTTTCTAAAAGAACATGGTTAAATCATGCAAAATGGTTGACAAATAATTTCCCAGTAGTTAAGGGTTTGACAGTTACAGTTTTGAATTCAAATTCTTTCTACCTATGCTCTTGCTAGTCCTCATATTAAAAAACATATATTGCTGGAGCTTTTCTTATAAGCAAATACCAGGATATGGCTCCACATTGAAGACATTAGAATTAACAGACAGAGGTTGAGGGAGTACATATATCTTTTAGCTTATTTTTTTTTTTTCATTTTTTGTTCTTGTGTTACAGCTTTTGGTATATTCTCGTCTAAACAACAATACTTTCTTGAAGGGTTAAAATCCAAATGACTTGGGAGAACTCTGTCCCAGTAGGCACTGAGAGTAGATAATAGTGGAAGGATAAGTAAGCAGACAATATAGCTTCACAGAGAGGTACAGGGCATAACAGAAAAGAGCTCGTTCACAGGAGCAGACAGGTTAAATGATTAACATTTGTTTAAAAAATAAGTTCATTACTCTGACCATTTACTGTGTAATCATGTATTACATCTGGAATTCAGTAAAATAAACTTAGATAGCCCTTTGAAATGGAGCAGTTAAATCTTACCTACTTGGCTCCCTATATAAAAGTAAACATGAAAAAAGATATGAACAGATTAATTACCTGCAAGAGCTACCAACTTACATATAATTCAGTAATAGCAATGAAGATCAAAACTATGTTTGTTTACCAGGAAAGGAACCGATACTGGCTTTTGCCTTGAATGCCATACACTGGATTGAATCTTTCCCTCTGTAAGATGCATATGCTGTGTTCTGCTGACTAAATTGGACAGCATAAGTAAGGTAACAGCATCAGGCTTTGCACCTTACTTATTGAAAAAGTGATTTGCCCTTCACAAGAAGAGCATTTCATCTTCCACTCTATTTTATTCTCAATGCTTGAAAACAGCATTAAAAAAGTCCCCTTTCAAGCACCATTTTAAATGGGAAATACTGATATGGATAAATAAGCAGTGATGTTGTAATATTTCAAGTGTACAAGTAAGTGCATTCCAACAAACACCAATCCCTTACAAAAATCAAGGAACTTAGGGGCAGTAAAACATGAAAGCCAATTCTTCAGCATGCCCATACCCATCCTGTCCTCGACGCACAACATTAAGGTCAGCTCCATATTTATTCTTTATCCATTTAATTCCCTGTTGCTGGGGATCTATCATCAGAGGGCAGCACTTACAGTTTGTTAGAATAGTGACGTTTTCTGCTCACATCCTATCACTGGGCAGCCGCTCGTTACTCAATGCTGCAATCATAGCATCATCTGTCAACGTGGCAGTCATGTCCAGACCCTTCATCACAAGAACAGAAACCTTTGAATCATAGTGGAATATAATCATCCAGCAAGGTTACCAGGTAGCAAGACATGACTCAGTGCAATGCACAGGATAATGGAGCCGGTATAAACTATGCTTTCTAGGCAGCAAAGTAAGGAAGATCCCTGTAGAGTTTCAGATGCAAAAGGATATACCAGAAAATGTGATGAGAAGTGGTTTATCAGGTTTAATAAAAGAAAAAGTGTTTTCATTTAAGACATTTACATCATAAAAAATACTTAAAAGTTTCAAACCCACCATATATTATCAATTTTGGTGTATACAGTTACTGATATTGCAGATTCAATGCTCATGTATGCTCTTGAGCAGGTATTTCTGGAACCATAAAACAGTATCCACACAAAAATTACAAAACCAGTATTCCCACGGAACCTTATTAATGTAGTTCAGTGATGTGTTAACAAGCTCAAAAGCCAGAGAGAGAAAACCATGTCTGAGACCAGAGGCAGCCTCAGAGCTCCCTGAGTGGGACCAACTGCGGCAATGCTATCATGTGAGTGCCTGCTCACTAAGAAGGAGGCTGTGATCTCCATGTACACTAGAGCAGCTGTCAGACAGCAGGCTTGTTGGATACTAACTTGTCACAAATACTTACAAGGAGATGAAATAAAAAAGAAATGGAACATCTGAAATGAGGGCTTTCTGAATGGGTGTGTGTTGGAAGGGAAATGCTTAACACCACACAGAGAGTGAATACCTATTTGGAAAAGAAAAATGGCTAGTGGAAGCATAAAAAGACCTACATTGGATGATGCCTCGAATTACTGAAACAAAGGCCAAGGTCTCAGCAATTCCTTCATGACGTTATTCCAGGCTTTCTTATTTGTGATTTCAGGATTGAATTTTAAATCCACAAACAAACCCACAGCATCATCAGTATTTAGCCTGAACTACCTTCTATACTACTCAGAAGTGTTTTAAAAACTCTTCCATCAAAATTTTCCTCTTCCTTAGACATGCATAACCCCACGTGCAGGTTTGTGGACTGGAAATTATTTTAAAAGTGCGCATTGAAACAAAACAAAACATCTAAACCTGGTGGTTGTTTATAATGAAAATCATTACATATATTTAAATTGAGCCAAATTTGCACAATTATTAACAATAAGAATGACACCATACCTCTAGTGCATTTTCTGCGGCCCAACGATATAGTTAACATATTATTATGAAATGTATACCACTTTAAAATTGTCTAACCCCTGATTTTAATCACAGTGCCCAAAATAAACCTACCTTTTTATAACTTGCTGAAAATACAAGTACAAAAAAACCAAAAGGCATATAAGCCCCTCCACAAGCAAGCAATATACTTACCTTCCATATGTAACACATTTATCTAAATACACCATAAGACTGAAAATATAATTTATCTCTGGACTGTAAGGCAAGCAATACAATAATTTCCATGAACTGAAATATTTCCTTGTAGAAAACACTAGCATTGGGGTATTATGACGGTTTCTAATACATTTTTCACACAGTACAAGAAAAATATTTTAATATATAGATACATCTATTATTATCATATCTGCACAAAGCTTCGTGACATAGAACTTTGTGTTCCTTCTAAAGAGGACTATTAATAAATATCTATTTTTAACATCACTATGCAAATGCATTTCTCTCCTCTTTTCCACTCTTCCCCACTTGCAGCAAAACAGTCAAAGCCTAGACAAAGTATTTTTTATCACTGCTGTTCAATGAAAGCATTTGAAAAGTAAAAAGTTACATTATGGATTATTTTTTATTTATAAAAATGTTCAATCCATTTCAGAGGATTCTTAAAAGACCTAAGAATGACATTTATTTCCAGGGTCCCATTACTGAAAATAAAAAATATATCGGTGTAATTTTTTTTACGTATCAGCATTAGTCTGCAAGGTAGAAGGAGGTTTTTGAGAAAGAACTTCATCTGCAGGCAAAATTTTGGTGAAAAAGAACAGGGAGATGTTCCAGGCAAAACAAAGCTCCACAGAAATAAGTGACTGTTAAACTCTCACACAAAATAAACATCTACATAAAGATATCCCTGCAGTTCTGAATGCTGACCTTGGAAAGCTTGGATTTGGCTTTAATGGTATTTCAAATATCCCAGGCAAATCAGCTGGACTGCTGTGCCTTAGCCTTGTGAATTAAAATGAGGTAAGAGTAGAATAAACTACATTAATTGTGATATAATGCTATGATTTATGGCACATGAGAAATAAGAAACAATTAGGAAGAGCTGAGGAAAAATTGCAACAGTAAAGTCCAAAGCTTCACAAAGAAGAATGGAGAAAGCTTTGCAGAGACCACTCCAAGGGTTAGAGCCTCTATGAATTTATTGAGTGCTATTACAGTTTCCTCCATGTACAAGAGAAATGGGGATTATTGTAAATACATGCTCTTACTAAAGCTGAAAAGCTAAGCAGAATAGATCTCCCTATACACCTTTCACTATAACATTTGTTGTTACACAGGTGTTAGAAGGGACAGAATTTGGAACTGAGAATTGGAAAGGGAATTTTTTTTTTTTTTTTTGCCAAAGAGAACTCAATTTCTGTCTCTGATTCCCCTGAATACGTGCCTGTAATCTGAGGGAAGCATGTATGCATATATCTACTGGAAAAAAAAACCTGCAAAAAGCCACTTTAAAATACTGTTTTGTGCTTCAGATTATTGCATGCAGCAATTTTAGAAAACCAGACTCTTCATAGGAGACTCTCATTTTATACAGTAAATTTTACCTTTCGTGACTTTAGAAAAGGAAACCAGAAATGTTCCATCAGTTCTTGGCGATACTATTTTGTGAAGGATGCAAAGACACAAATGCTGCTATTAATAAGCCGTCACTACATAAAGGTTTGTTTTGTGCTTTGAGAGTTTCAACAGACTGGGTCCAATGTATGTTTTTAGACTACAAAGCAAAATTAGAAAATGTTATCTCCTGAACAACTTGGAAATGACAGAATGTTTGGTCTCCACATTAAAAAACAGAGTACAATAAGACAGGTACTGTCAGCAAGAGATACCCTTCCTAAACCGCAAGGCTGGAAAAAATCCATTCTCTCTGGTATGGTGATTTGAGACCTTTGAAGCTGCAAAAATAGAATGGAGCTCTTAATCAAGCATTCTATCTCCTTCCTCTGTTTGATTTTTACAGTAATTGCTGCTTTTGTCTCAACCAGATACAGTATGGCAGACACATGGCAATACTGACAGCATCTGCCATAATACTGCGAGGTACAGTATGACACTACTGCCTTGTGCAAAGTGCAATCATTTTCAGCAAGATTCAGGAAAGGCAAGGAAACAAGAATATTAGAAGGAAAAAAAATTAATAAAAAAAGTAAAGGATAAAAACCTGTTTCAGTCTTAGCAAATATATGAAGACTTCTTTTTTTTTCATGCTTTTTTCCAAGGGAAAACACAAGGTAGAAGAGTTGCAAGGTTTTTTTCTTATTATTTGTCTGGCTTGTTCTACCTACTAGCCACAGAAGTTTTACTGCATTAAAAACCAAAATAATTTGGAATTTTGACAGGAGGAAAGAAGAGGGTGGTCAAACACACAGGTTTGCATAAAGAGGTTATGGAATTTCCAACCTGGGTGATATTCAAAACCTAACTGAACATGATCCCGGGCAGTCTGGTCTAACCAACATAGTCTGAGCAGTAGTGGTGGACTAGATGACCTCAGAAGGTTCCTTCTAGCCTCAATGATTATATCAGAGTTTAACTCTAGAAATTGTTTATTTATTATTTTTCCCCACCGAGATCCCTGATTTCTGGAATCCCTTGCGCACTTGGCAGAGTTCATCTTAACCACACTTTCCCTGGGATATTTTGGATGACTAGTCAGGAACAGTCTAAGATATTGATGATTTCTTATTAGTAGCTACATGGAAAGCTGCTATTTTATTCCAGTTATGTTTTAAAGACAGTCTATTTAAAATGTTAAATGGTGACCAAAGAATACCAGTTATTGAAAGCATCTTATATAAAGGAAACTAATATTTAAGATATGGATCAAATCATCATCTTTGTTTCAATCGGAACTTATGACATGGTGTAAAAACCAAATTAACAGTATTTGGAACATTATACTTTGATTGTTGTGTGTATACAATTCCCAGCAAAGGAATGAATATATGCTGCATGTATGCTCAAACAGTTTCATCATGGAAAGGAAGGTAAAAATTCATCATCCATTAGAGTCACCTTCAAACTGATGAAATTCTAGATGTAAAATTAGAATAGACCACTGTAACCCTTCTTCCTTGCTTGTACTGTTTGAAATAAATACTCAGGATAAAAGTTTGTTCATTTGACAGGGAAACCTCAGGAAATTATTCTTCAGTGAGCAGAGGGACTGAAGCAAAAAAAGAGCCAGTATGAAAGAAGGAAAACATACTGCTGAACAACTTATAATCCCTGTCTTTTACCCACTGTCATACAGACATTTATTTTTCAGAACAATGTCAGTAAACAAAACATATGTTTTCAGACCTTTACATGATGTAATCATAATCAGTGAAAATCACTGAATGGAATGCATCTCAAATAACAATTCATTATAAACATAAGTTTCTATATGTACAAAACCAAAATAATGAACAAATTGTTAAATTTGATATTCACGAAGTATTTTCCATCTATATTTTTCAGAAAAATCAGAAATATTTACTGTAATAGTTAAACATCCTATCCTGTAAAAACAGACACAGATATCAGAAGTCTCAAACTCTCCTGTTATAAAACAGGAATATAAAATATTCACTAAGAAATTTGAAGTACTTTTGATGAAACTACCATGCTTTAAAAAGTTAACATCTAAAGTTTCAGTGTAAATGCAAGACTTGGTGATTGTGAAGGCCTCCTAAACCCCAGTTACGTTCATAAGAGATGCCCAACAAGTGACAAGCAAAGGATTATTCTAAAGGTCTAACAGCAATTTTTGTAATGTAGCATTTTGTTTTGAAGTATTTTAGAAATTTGTTTTTGCCTATGGAAGTCATTGTATTTTTCTTTAAACCATTAACTGAAGGCAACGAGACAAGAAATACATTAATTTAAAAGAGGGCTGTTTGATTTAGCCATTCTTTTCTCTTGTCACTGACTGGTAAGCCATAAACACTAAAAAGCACCCATCTCATTCTCCAAAATATCTTTGAAATTTGAAGATTTACTAAACGTAGAATGATTGTCTGTTTAAATCTTTAGTAATTTCACCATACCACCCAGCACCATAACTTACTAGTGACAATGGCTAGCAAGGGTTTAAGAGTTGGAACATGCAGTGTAATAAATTTCCAGACAGTTAAAAATCACTATAATTTTATTCTAATGCATTATAGATTGCCTGTAATGTCATCCTGCCTGGGGTGGCCCATTTCTAATTTTGAACAGCTGCTCAGCTTGGGAGTTAGTTAATGATTAAATATAAATTGCCTGATTTATTAGCCTGAATAGTTGAGCTTCCAGGTCAATGCTATATAGACAAAAACATCAGTCTTGATGCTTTTCAGAAGTTAACTCTCTCCTGTTCTAGTCAAAAAGAATTTATTCTCAGAGAAAAACACTTGACGTTCTAAATTAATCCTTTTAAATATTTTCCCTCTTAACTTAGACAATAAGATCGCTAAAAAAAAATTAAATCTTGGAGAAAAGCTTCTTTTAACTATGTATAAACCTTCAAATCCAAGACTCAGAGACTACCTATGGAAGGTCATTGGCTTCCACAACACTTCAAAAGACTTTGGAGGTTTGCAGAGTCAGGCTAACAGTGACCATCTCAGATGTCTTGGGCAAATTAAAGTTTTCATATGCAGGTAGCAATATTGACTCCACTGTTTTTCTACTAAAGGCAAGATGGTTTACATAATTTACATTTCTGGGCATATTAATTTCAGAATCAGGGATCAAACCCTGGTCTATTTTAATTACACTGGTGTTTTTTTATTACTTATATACTCTTATTCCCTCCAAACTGATTAAACCTTGGTTGCTAGCCTCTGCTGAGAGATTTGCAGAAACAAAAGTAATTACACTCTGATCATAGAAAACAAGGTCACAGGGTATTTCTGAAAACCAACTTAAAATATTTATTCAAACTGCCTTGGGAAGTCACAAAGTAGTTTTAATATTGTTACTTTTCATTTCCTGTAATTTACACTTATTTGTCAAGAAGGAATGGTTGAAATTCTGGATGATGAGTTGAGACAGCATGATTTCAGTAAAGACCTAGGAGAGACTGCACAGCAACGCTGAGGCTGACTTGAATGTTTAGTGGCCATTAAATAGGAATTTGTTAGCTTAATGGTGTTTGCCTGTAAATAAAGCTAATAAGCACATTTTAACATAAGTACATTTCATTCTTATTTAAAAATTAATAGTTTCTGCAAAAGGAAAAATACAAAAGCAAGCAGCAAATATATCATTGGTGCCTTCCCCTTACTTGCAATCTAAAGTGCAACGCTGGCAGATAGAGGGTGACACCATCCTTACCTAAAGGATTATTCAGTCTTTCTTCTCATTAACTAGAGGCTGTCCAGGCTGCCACAGTGTGTTCACAGTTGTGTACAAATGTGGTGACTTAGTTATCGAGACTTCTCTCTAGCAATCATGTCAACATCAGTTGCTCAGAAATATGCGATTTTTAGGAAATGCAATTGTGGTGCATTAGCTTTTACTCCCCGGGATTTTATTATACGGTTTATTTGTTGTTGGGCTTGGGGTTTTTGTTGTGGATTTGTTGTGTTTTTTTTTTCTTTTTTCTATTTAATTCTTTTCTAATGAGGGTTATCCTGTTGCTTGTGCCACCTTCCAGCCTATTCTCCCTATACATAATCCTCAGAAGATTAAGTTTAAACTCATAGCCAACAAAATATTTCAAACATTTTAAAACTCACACTAGGCTGAAGATTCAGGCAAATTCTTCTTACCTCAAATCCCTTTACTAATCTGTTGGCCACTTCAATACTTCTGGTGGTTTGTTTCACATCATCTTGACATTGGATTTTCTCTGCAACTTTCTCAAGTGAAGATGTGAGCTTATGCACATTCATATTGCTATTCAGAACCTATTCAGAAAAGGGATTGGTAGATATTATACCTTAAGATTTGTTGGGATTTCTGGTGGTTTTTGTTTGTTTGTTGTTTTTTTTTTTTTGGGGGGGGGAGAGAGGGAAAGAGGCTTGTTAGGTTTTGGGGTTTTAGGGCTTCTTTTATTAATTTTTAATTTAAATAATATTTTAAATAATTCTAATTAGAATAGATGAATAATTGCGGACAGTGCCTCTAAGTCAGAAGGGTATAAACTTTAGAGGAAAGTTTTGTTGTGCAAAATTCTTGTTCTTTCTACAACACAACAAAGCTATGTTAACTAACAATAATTTAGAACAAAATCACCATTAGAATCCTTTACCAAATATCCATTTAAATGGTGGAGATCACGTGCTTGGAGATAATAGCAGGAGAAGTGTTTCTGCTTGATGACAAGGGTCTGTATCGCAATGACCATATGTGCAGGTCCCAGTCAAAAGTGCAACATTCTTGTGCTAAGTTCACAGAATCACAGAATCCCAAGGGTTGGAAGGGACCTCAAAAGATCATCTAGTCCAACCCCCCTGCAAAGGCAGGGTAACCTAGAGTACATCACACAGGAACTTATCCAGGTGGGCCTTGAATTTCTCCAACGTAGGAGACTCCAACAACCCCCCTGGGCAACCTGTTCCAGTGCTCTGTCACTCTCACAGTAAAGAAGTTCTTCCTGATGTTAACGTGGAACCTTCTATGCTCCACTTTACACCCATTGCCCCTTGTCCTGTCACTGGACATCACTGAAAAAAACCTAGCTCCATCATCCTGACACTCACCCTTTACATATCTGTAAACACTGATGAGGTTACCCCTCAGTCTCCTCCAAGCTAAAGAGACGCAGCTCCCTCAGCCTCTCCTCATAAGGGAGATGTTCCACTCCCTTAATCATCTTAGTGGCTCTGCGCTGGACTCTCTCCAGCAGTTCCCTGTCCTTCTTGAAGTGAGGGGCCCAGAACTGGACACAATATTCCAGATGCAGCCTCACCAAGGCAGAATAGAGGGGGAGAAGAACCTCTCTTGACCTACTAACCACACCCTTTCTAATGCACCCTATGATGCCATTGGCCTTCTTGGCCACAAGGGCACATTGCTGGCTCATGGTCATCCTCCTATACACCAGGACCCCCAGGTCCCTTTCCCCTTCACTACTGTCCAGCAGGTCAACCCCCAACCTGTACTGGTACATGGGGTTGTTCTTCCCCAGATGCAAGACTCTACACTTGCCCTTGTTGAATTTCATCAAGTTTCTCCCCGCCCAACTCTCCAGCCTATCCAGGTCTCGCTGAATGGCAACACAGCCTTCTGGTGTGTCAGCCACTCCTCCCAGTTTAGTGTCATCAGCGAACTTGCTGAGAGTACACTCAGTTCCCTCATCCAGGTCATTGATGAAAATATTAAACAGCACTGGTCCCAGCACTGACCTCTGAGGGACTCCATTAGTCACAGACCTCCAGCTAGATTCTGCCCCATTGACCACTACTCTCTGCCTTCTTCCCTTCAACCGGCTCTTGATCCACCTCACTACCTGATCATCAAGCCCACACTTCCTTAGCTTATCTATGAGGATGCTGTGGGAGACAGTATCAAATGCCCTACTGAAATCAAGAAAAACCACATCTACTGCTCTACTATCATCCATCCGCCTAGTTACTTCCTCATAGAAGGCTATAAGGTTGGTCAAACATGACTTCCCCCTGGTAAAACCGTATTGGCTGCTCTTAATGACCAGTAACAAACATCCTAGAACACACTATGTCCTGTGTATTCCTGAGCATTTAAAAATGTAATGGGGAAAGAAAAAAAGCAAGAACAGAATTGTTATTTTCATTTTGTATATCAGCCTGCAAGCATAAGAAGGTCCAGCAATTTACTCTTGGGCAGACAGGATGGTTTCAGTAATAGCAGAAAGCAAGTAGATCTCCTGCAGGATGATCCATACCTTCACCCAAGATCATGAAACACACTTGTGTGCACTCTGCTCAAAGGCAGCAACATGACCTCTCTCTGCTTTCAGGGCTTTCATACTGAATATACCTCAACTCGGTAGTTGCTGCTACCCACCCTCAGTGAGCTCCTGCAAATTCCCTCTTAGACTTTGGAATTTAGACTCCTTGTTAGACTCTTTATTTTCTTCAGTGTCTATCACTCCTGCCATATAACAGGTTGCAGTAAAAAAAGCTGCAGCATTTTCTCCAGATTCTTTTAAGTGAGCAGTTAGGATGACATGGGATTTTTAAAATTGTTTCTGTTAATGCCTGTTTCTCTAAAACAGTTGAAAGATGCTTGAATGAGGAACTAACTTGTTATCATTGTTGAAGATACAGTTCTTCATCTTTCTGAAAAAGACTAAGAAATACTGTAATAGTCAAGAATAGTTAGGCAACAATAATTACACACTGAAATGGTGGGTGAGGGTGAATCACAAGTTTCTTCTGCTTGTAAAAATAAAAACTCTGAACTGTTGTGCTTGTTCATCAAAAAGAACTTAAAAGAAGAAAGCCACCCACAATGTGTTTATGTCACTTTTCCCTTACGTAAGGAAGATAAATACATTCTTTCCTAGTCTATAAAAAAAAATAAAAAAAAGTCTCTCCATTTCAGTAAACTAAGAACTAATGAATAGAAAGCTGTTAAAAAAATCAGATATTGAGTAATAAAAATTTAAGAGGTTAACAACTTGAAAAGTACTTGTTTTACAAGTAATCAGATGAGGCAAAAATTGAATAGGAGAACAGAGCTTGAAAGACCATTTTGAAAAAAAAATAAAGATAAGGCAAGACAACAGGAGCAAGACAGCATGCAAATTGCTTGAAACTGTTTTGTTTCTATAGAGTAGCTACAGAACTAACAACAGTGAGCTCCCCTTTAGAACAAAATCCTCCTACTTCAGGTATACTAGAAAAAATGCAACAGGATCAGAGTGTGTACCCCCACTAAAGCTTAGTGGATTTGCAAGATCAAAGATTTACACCTCATCTGCCAAGTCTGGTGTTTGAATTGGTGGTGTGCAATAAAGAAATTAAAAGTTAATATACAAATTAAAAACAATAAATGTATTGGCAAAGGGAAAAATATGAAATCATAACTTGGAGCTTAATAAAGAAGGTTGGCTTGATTTCTTAGGGATAATGAGGCAGCCAATCCACTTTTTAATGGTGATGGATCATAAATTGAGGGACTAATGAGGAGTTCTGCTCAATAAGGGCATCTCACAGAGATGAACTAGCATGCAAGGTGTAAGAAGAAAGAAGACAAAGTTCTTTACTCTTTATTTCTTTATTTTTTTAAGAGAGACATTTCTAGACATCTCAAGTTTGCCTGCATGATTAACACAGATCTGAGCATAGTTCAGGTACACTCATCCACCAAAGTCTCAAGCATTAAAGATGGCAAGGACATTCTTCTGCAGTGTGATACCACGCTGTAGCTGCTTATATGAACTTTAGGGTGGGGGGTCAAGAGATGGTCAAAGCTATCTTCATTTGCCCATTAAATCTGAATCTCCTTCAGAACAAGAAAAGGAAAATAACCTACACTAGAAGGAAGAAAAACATGAAATTGGTAAAATAATGAAATTCTAAGACAGCATAACTCAGTTTCAGTAAAACAGAATTTTGCTCATTCTCTTAAATTGTTAAATCAAGAAAAAAAAAAAGTGAAAATAATCCCCATATTACATATTTGTTCAGCCTTCATTTATTGCTTGATTTCTTAAATTGTGAGATTTCAGATCTAAATATTACCAACAAAAAAGTCTTAACCTAAGTCAAAGCCTTCTAAACCTGATTAATGCCATCTTTCAAACCAGCTGAAGCTTTCTTTGCTAAGTAGTGGTAATTAGATTGCAGCAGAGAAACTCCTTCCGCCCACCATCTCCTAAGATACCCTGGCATGTCTTTGTCTGTTTCAAGAGTGCTTTGTATTGGCAGGTGTCCATTAAATGAATTCTTAATAAACAACAAATAATCCCTCTCAAAACTTCAAGAGGCACTTGGTGGCAAATGTGGTCTTCAGTTCAATCCTTAACTCAAAAAGACATTTGTTAGTAAAGGACTCATCTAAATTTCCACTTCTGCATGGATGTGTGCACACATGGGTGTATGTCTTTGGAGATCTTTCAAAAAATCAAGATCTGATGTAATTTTATGATAATCACACATAAGCATGAGTTTCCAAAGCCCTTTCTGGCAGTTATTAATATATTCCAATGGGTCATTACTCATATAAACATTTGTCTCATACTCGCTGTAAAAATCACAGCCACCTACTGACATCAAATAGCATTTCAGTTTACTAATCCATTGTTTATAACAAGCCTAGATGCCTTTGAGGAAATCCAGTAATTTCTGATTAACAGCTTCATGTGCTACCACCCAAACTCTGGAATGTTTTTCAGTAGGTATGTGGGGAAAATAGTGATAATCCCCAATGAAAATATATCTTTAATACTTACACTAGGATGTAATTAAATCAATAAAAATAAAATAACAAAATAAAATAAATAAAATTAAGTGGGTTCAATATATTAGAGAAGAATGCTTATTAATCAAGCAATACTTACAAGAAGCTTTTTCCTGACGATTTCCAGTTTTTCTGTAGCTGCTGCTAATCCAGCATTTGCTTGGGCCAATGTAGAATATTTTGGTTCTAGCTCCAAATACACATTGAAAAAGAGATACAATATCAGTACATCAGATAAGAAGCTGGTCTCACATTCATTATAAAAACAAAAATGATGAAAGACTTTCAGATAACACTAGTAGTCTCTCATTACATGCTTTAGAGCCATCTTTCTACACAATACTGAGACATGTGGAGATTTCTTTCATTACTGACATAAACACTACAGGAGATTTGTTTATAGCTTATAGATGGATATCTTAAGCAGAACTGAATGCATCCTTAGTGGGTCTACTCTCCAACTAAAATTAATTTATATGTATCACTTTCATAGTTTTAGAATAAAGGTGGGAATCAGACAGGAACTAAGTTTGAGTAGATTTCAACTAAAATTGATTAGGTTTTTACTATTTTGCAATTAAATCACAACACGCTACAATACTAGGATGAACTACTTATCTTTCTTCATCACTGAACTTTCCTATATTGATGCCCAGGCACAGAGACCAGCTGCTGCAATGGATTTTGTATGGACATAATTTGGGTTGAAATCTGGATCCTTCAAGTAATGCTCCTTGACTTTCAGACAATTCAGAGGAATATGCTCCTTACCACAGTTGATTAAATCTTGTAAGAAGTTGCAATCCATCAACCGTTTTCGATTTTCAAGAATCAGAAGCGAACACCTACTTTCATCACAAAAGTAAAACTGGAATGCTTCACTAGCTTATTATTTTAGAAATATTATGCAGTACAAAGCAAAAATATTTATCCCAAAAGCCTTAAGTATCCACCCTCACATACACATTTTGAGATTTTATTATTTGCTTGAGGAATTTGGCAGACATGAGATAAATATTAGGAAATGTTTTCCCTTTAGCTTTTCTTCTGGTTTTGCAATTAATACATTCCAGTGGCACACAGAAAAGAACAATGCGAATTGAAAGAAAATGAAGCTGCATTTTAGTTTCTTTTTCTCTGGCTCTAATTTCTATCTATTCCTTTGCTCTCCCATCTTACATATTTTATGATGTCCCATTGATCATTACCTTTCCCATAAAGACTTTTGTGGCTTTCCAGCTTTGGTCTTTGGGCACTTTCTATGGCTGTAAAACTGTTACTGCAGCAGTAACACCAATTACAGCCATTGGTAGATTGGTGAAAGCTTTTGCTTCTGTAAGATTAACCTGAAAAACAATCAAAGGAACAGGTACAGCTATGCAACACAGTCGATTTGTTCTATAGAAGCTTTCTGATTACCAGCATACAACTCTCAGCTCTTCAAAGACTTATGACTTACTTTATGTGGTGAAAATTCTAATGATCACAGTTCTTCCCTGGCTCTGCAAACCTCATGCTTATCTCACAGGCTCATTTCCTGTCAGGTCTTGCTTAAACAAAGTCTAATTACAGAGAAAAAGAATATTACAGTGATCAAGATGTTAACACTTGGACCAAGCACTAAGCATTGACAGTAACAAGCCTCTGTAAGAAATTAAGAACCTTACGAAACATCTTTTTACAATAGTTGGGGCACTTTCCATTCCTACATTTATGGCATGGGACACACACAGACTCTGCTTGCAGAAATAACAAAGATTAAAACTTAATATGCATTACATTACAAATGACAAGTTACTAATAAATATTTCTTCACCTATTGTGATGTAGCTTTTAGGATGAAATTCCCAATATTTATTGGTTTGCATTTTAGCCACAACATTTTTTTAAAATTAAATACTGCATATACACTGCTCTGGTTTCTATTTTCTCTTATATTGTTTGAGACCCATGTTATTGAAATTAATTTAAAGCAAATACTTTGAACCAACCAGAGACAAATGCTCCTTCTGTTACAGTTTTTAAAGATGCAACCAGGTGAACAGTTAAAGTCACATGAGTTGCATTATAGTTCTGTGTCTCTTTATTTTTATGCATAGTTATCCTTTGCTTACTGATGCCCAAAGAAATAATGGGACAAGACTTTTTATTAAGGGAGGAGAAATAATACCAAGCAGATAAGCAGATAAGCCTTAGAACAGTATTTCTCAAATCTACTTCCCCTCACAGTGAGACGGAGGAGCTTTTTATTCCTGTTTCCGTAAGTTTAGTACCCTTCACCCATATATATACCTACACCATGCTCTTCATGTGTCCCATCTTGAAAGTGTGGGTCCCATCTTGAAAGGCAATGGCATATGCATCTCCATCTGTAAATCACTCTGGCTGGCATCATTCATAGAATCATAGAATGGTTATGGTTGGAAAGGACCTTAAGATCATCAAGTTCCAACCCCCGTGCCATGGGCAGGGACACCTCCCTCTAAACCATATCACCCAAGGCCTCGTCCAACCTGGACTTGAACACTGCCAGGGATGGAGCATTCACAACCTCCTTGAGCAACCTATTCCAGTGCCTCACTCACTGGTTGGAGAGTCCTCAATGGGAGAGGAGCTGGTCAGATGTATTGGGTAAGCCCTCTAGAACTTGAAAAGCTGTGCTAGCTTGCATTTAACAGAAAGCTGGAAGAACTACAAAATACAACAGTAGGATGGGCAGAGCCATCTCTCAGGGCTCAGCTCCTCATTGATACACATCTGGAGAGACTGGGAGGCGAAAGGGCAGCCTTTCTACTTACCAAGGACCTACAGATACCAGCAAACCCATGATACCTCTCTACCGGAGTGACTGAACAGAACCAAGCAATGGCAAGCAAATGAAAACATTTTCCTAAGCCTGAAAGAGGAAGGCAGCACATCCACTTCACCTGCTAGCAGTGTACTGACACTGAGCTCCCCACTGAAATGGCTGTCTTTTGACACATAAATAGATGCTGTATTCAGGGATTGGAGACATTTCAGTGCTGGTCATCAAAACCCCAAACTGCAGAAGAGAGGTTGGCAGGGGCCTCCAGAGGTCTCTGGTCCAACTTTCTGCTCCAAGCAGGACTAACCACAGAGTCAGGTCACATTGCTCAAGGCCTTGCCCAGGCAACTTCAGAAGATCTTCCAGGATAGAGATGCCATCACCCCACTGGGCCCTGCCCCAGAGCACAAACACTCTCCTTGTGAAGAGTTTTCCCCACATCCAGCTGGACTCTCCTTCAGTGCAGACAGTACTGGTTAACTCTTATCCCTTCTTCACTGGGCACTCCTGACAAAAGTCTGGCTGCAGCTTCTATGCCAGTACACCATAGAGGACAGTGGTTAGATGCCTCCTCAGCCTTCGTATCCCCAGACTAAAAACCACTCTGCCAGCCTCTCCTACATCACATGTCTTATAGATTCTCCTCCATTTTTCCTGCTTAAATAGTATTTATTCCCTGCAATACTCCAGTCATGGAAACTATCTCATTGTGTCTCCATAAATTCTACTGCTTTCTAATTGTCTCTTAACTGCTTCATAGGCTTCAGGTGTCAGTCCACAAGCACTCATGCAAGTGCGAGCATTCACAAAGGGAGTCTGTGCCTGGGAGACAGGATCCTGAACAGACACAGCACAGCAAACCACTACCAGAGAGACACTTTTATGGCAAAGAGACACAGAAGAGGCCTACACTAAGGAGCGATTTGAAAGGTATGCCAGTGACCAAGTAATGAGACATTATTCCTTTGAATAAATGCAAAATCCTTAGGTGGGACCGAGTTACGACTGAGGAGATAAAAAGCTCCTTTCCTCATCCTTACTGAGGACAATTTCTGGTCTCAACTCTCTATAAAATTATAGAATGGTTTGGATTGGAAGGGACTTTAAAGATCATCCAGTTCCAACCCCCTGCCATGGGCAAGGACACTCTCCACTAGACGAGGATGCTTAAAGCCTTGTCCAACCTGGCCTTGAACACTTTCAGGGATGGGACATGGACTCAGATTAGGCTTCTGCTCAGCAAATCTCTTGAGCAGCAAGCAAGCATCTCCTGCTTTTAGAAGTGGCAGAAAATGCATGGGTAAATGACAGCATGAGCCATTCTCTTTCCTCAGCACAGGTTAAAGGAAAGACGGAACATTACAAAGCACAGGGCTCTGTTTTTAACAGTGCATCTTTGCTGGGCAGTAGCATCATTAGCTGGTCCCTTCCCTGTTTCGAGTCACACAACTGCCTACTGCTTCAGAGCTCACAATTTACCATCTGTTCTTAATCTTCTCTTTGCACAAACAACACACTGCAACTACAGCATCTTTTTATGCAACAATCGATAAGGCAGGTAAGACCAAACAAGGAAATGGGCAGGAGGACATAGCCAAAAATAATGGTACATCCTGCAGTGCTTCCTGTCATTTAACCACTGAAGCTACAGAAAAACCCAAACACACTCTTTTGTCTGGAGCTTTGCAGCCATGTGAAAATAATCATATGGAAAAAATGAAAATGCAATTCAAAAATACAGAGCACACAGATGGCAGTAAAATGACAACAGTGTAACTGCCCACTATTTTAAAACCTTTGCAGTGTCACATTCATAGTCAGACACTTGTTGACTACTATACAGATATGTAGTTTGCCACATTTATGTGGCATCCAGACTGACCCCACTTTTCCTGATGAGTCTCATCTAAATTGACTTCCACTCTGCCTTTTCTTAAGTAATGCTTCACTCTAAGGCAATATCTCTAAGGTATTTACTGGCTTAATGTTGTAACACTCAAAAAAAAAGAAAAAAAATCCTTATAAACTCCCATTTGAAATCTCTAGAATAGGAAAGCCAAATGAATTTTTGAAAGGGTGACAAATTTTAATCAGTTATGAAGAATTACTTAGCTGGAAGATGTATTCTCATTTACTAAATTTATTTTATAACAAAAATTATAGAAGACTAATATTTAGAAACTATAATCGCTCTTATGAAGTAGCTTTAGATTCATGGTAGCACAAAATGACACTTTCATTTATGATGAAAACATTTCAGAAGTGCAATAAAACAATGAACAGGGGAGTACAGTAATAATTAGTGTCATGTGCTGAACTTCATTCCTGAAACAAAGTGGCCCAAAGATGTGATTATCCCATGATAATCACTTGGTGTGTTTCACCTAGGTGCTTAATGAAGTAATCAGAATTGTGTTAAGGGTGTTTTTTAATCATCCAAATCCATCAGAAGCATGTGGAACAAATGTAGGAAAAGAACCACTGAAAAGCAGTTGGTAGGATGTTGAGCTATTGCACTATTTGGACTTTAAACTTCATAGCAAAATATAAGTCCTGTATAAGAGACGGATCATCACGAGTCCATAATTAGCATAATCCAGAGACATGTAAAGTCCTGATCCAGTCAATTTCTCTCAATAAAATTAAGATAAGACACAAGGTCATTAGAACAATATTAAACATCACCTAATAATAATAAGCCTTAGAGAAACAAACTAGAAGAGAATGAAAGACCATTCTGATTGTTCAGACAGTATAGTTTCCCCTGTTTATCAGTATCTAAAAACTGTTCACGAAGTTCTTGGCAACTTGAAGTTTCCATAGATCAAAATCACGCATTAACAACTACTAGAAGTCAATTGAAAATTTCTTTCTACAGTATTGATAAATGACATGATGTACATCACATTTCATTTTAAAATGCCAGAGTTGAATGAGCCCATCATTCTTCAACGGCAGAGGAATTTCAGTTTGCAGCATTCCTTACTGTTGTTTTATTTCAAAAACCTTTCTTGTAATAGTAGAGCGAAATTTTAGAGTCCAGATGAAATGATACATATATAGAATCAATAGAATAATTCTGTGGTGAGGACTAATGCATTTAAACTTCTGTTTCTAGCATGGATGTTGATAACTAATGTTAATAGGCTGAAGTGAGAGCAAAAAGGAGCTCGACACTGATGTCACATGTTATTAGGAATGCTATTATAATCTCAAAATTCAAGGTTTGCACCTTGTAATACTGTGAGGTACTGGAATGAACTTTTGTACCAATTGAGTTTTTCAATTTACCTAGAGCCTCAATGCCTTTAGAAATCTGAAGTGCTCAGAGATGACTCTCTGACATTTACTGTATTACCAATAGGTTTATTTCTCAAGATTCACATCCATTAAATGCTTGAATGAGCTCAGTATTTATTGCTCTTTCATCTCATTAAAATAGCTAAAAGGTTGGGAAGTGGCATAATGTAAAGAAAGGTCAAGTGGTAATCACAATGTGAAATGCCGTTACATGTGTAAGTATAATAATTATTTTGATTTTATAATCCCTGGAGAGGAAGTTGTTCAAAACTGTTCACCAGAAAAGGTTTATTTAGTGCTAAATACAGCTCAACAGCTTAAATGGAGGATTAGACTGACCTTTTGCTCCTCAGTGTCTGCAATGGCTCTTTCTAGGCTCACTTTCTCAGTCTGAAACCCTGTCTTAGCAATCAAACCTTCAGCATCTTGATTTCTCAGTTGCAGTTCTGTCTCTTGAGAAGCAAGTTTGGATTTTAGATCTTCTACCTACAGGGCAAAAGGTAATGCACTACTTGGGGCAAGGGTCATTAGCTGTGGCTCTGGAAAGATTATATCACATGAGCTGCAAAAAGATGAACTGAAAATTCATGTTTTGGGGGTCTCAGTACTAAATGTGTTGCCTTTTCCCTTGTTGATAGATCCTTGCTTGCAGCTCACAGAATTTTGTTGACATGAAGAATTTGATAAGAACAGCCTAACTGCTCCCACGAGGGGCCCCACAGCTCCCCTGAGATGCTCAGATCCAGCTTCTGAGTCTGTGTTTGTAATCAAGTGTCTCAGCTGTGCAACAAGGCCCAGCTCAGCATCCAGCAAAGCTACAAATTGAAAAGCAAAAGGACATTGTGGAAAACAAGTCTTCATCACCACAGAAGCTCGGTGCTTCAATATACTTTATTTCTTTGTTTGTTTTTAATAAATACTCCTAAATTCTAAAACCAGATATTAAATCAGTCACAATGCTGCTATATACCAAGTTAATACTATATGGATTTTCTATTTCACCTCTGGAAATCCTGTATAGGTTAAAGAAAATCAATAGAGGAGTTATTCTATTCATACTGATCCCCACATACCTCATGTACCATCAAGTTCCTATTTGGAGTGAGTGCATTTGTGCCATTAACTTCAGATTGACTCCATGATTTAGATTTATGAAGTTGTACAAGTCCCTGGTCATCTGGGCTTGTCAAAGTCAGTGATAAACTATTATGAGGGCAGGATGCAACCAGTGTGGAGTGCTTCTGAAAGCTGAATCTCTACATAGCATAAAACATTAGAAAATCAGCAACACTTCTGTGTTGAAGAAACCTTCTATCAGTTTCAGGGGTTATTTGACCAGAAAAGTAGTTATGACTTAACAGAGTTCAGAGTCACTCTGAAATGTGACATTTACCACTCTACCTTATTTGCCACCAAGACATCAAACCATAAAATGTACCTCAAGCTCCAAACAAATCTCAGCACACTGCAGGAAGGATGCCAGAGTGGTCCTGTGACCCCAAGGGGCTGAGCTGGGTGTCACACAGCATTGCATGATGTTTCCCTCCCAGCAGTGAGATTGGAAAACTCTTTACATACTATGTGACCATCAAAACAGGCTAGGCATATTTAAAACACCTCCAGCCTGTCATTTAGTCATGTATTTCTGAGCAAAATGCAAAGATAAAATACCTGTCTTTATTCACCTCTCATAGCAAAAAGAAAGGTAGTTTCAGGACTGAAGTTCAAAGGTCCTTTTTCTAATTTTTTTGAAAACTGGATTAGCAAATACAAGATACTTCACAACTACTATGAAATAGAGTATACCTCAGGATAAAGGTAAAATAAGAAACACCCCAAATTAATTTTTGTTTCTTTTAAAGGATGCTAACTATATTACTAGAATATAGGCATACACATGTGTAAGCAAGAGTACTGTATGTGCTAAATTGCCAGGGAAATACTAAGAAAACCTATTTAACTCCATCACTGTAACTAACTTCCATTTTGTCCTCTATGACTTCCAGCATACTTAAACTTTATAATTTGTGGATCATATCTCCCTCATTTTAATGATTATTTATTGCATTCTGTACAAGACAAACCCAGTTCAATTAATCAAGGGAAGCCTAAAAATCAATTAATATGAATTAAATGAGCTACACCAACTCTTAGAAAAGTCACACATAATTTACCAAAGCATTGTCAATAATGCTTTGGGAACTTTGGGAAAATTGCTCATGAGTGGCTGTTGATGTAGTTAAATGTTTTAAAACTACATCATTAATATTACAATCAGGTTGGTGCAGAAAGACTTGCCATTTTTCTTAGTAAGAAACCTCATTATTTTCTTGTGACTTTTAAAAGCTAGTTTAGAAGAATATTTATTTCACATATGATTACAAAACCAGAAATTAAAACAAGAACTAAATAATGATTTGCATTTAGGGAAAGCAGAAATAAATTGCTTTACAAATTTAAAAAATCAGAATATCATTAGAGGAGGCAAAGCTAGCATAAATTCATTTTACAAAGATGGGTTGTAAAAGCAAGGCTAGTCAGCAGAAACAGCAGGAATGGACATTTTATGCAGATTTGAGCAGTGCTTGGCTTACAACTGAAATGTGTTTCAGCCTTTTTCTCCTTTTTTCGTTGTTTGTGACACATATGCACCCTGCAGTACAGCTCTTCCTAGTGAAAGGCAACCTCCTTACACATGATCCTTATGAGAGGTCTCTACTCGGCAGCCCTGAAAAGCCCTCTAACAACAGTTTCATTTGTAAATCAGTGAGGGAAGAAGTGGGTTCCAGTAGCGCTGGAAGTGGCCCTAGACAACTTGTCTCAATGGGGTAAAATAACTATTGTTATCAAGCGTAACAAAATGGCACAGCATGGTAGACACACCGAGCTAGAGAGCAGGGGGTTGCAATTCACACTGGTTTTCAGAAAACAGTAATCGTTCCTGAACAGACCTCTTTGAGGGTTGGTCTTCCCTGCATTTTCCATTTGTCACTTTCTCTTATGATAAGGTCAGTGGTGACAGCACTTCCTGACATTGACAGCTGTGGCTTTTAAAAGGGTTATTGTGGAACTACTAATTGCAGTAATTTAATTAGCATACATTATTTATTCTGACATTAATTTATCTCCAGGTTGGGATTTATTTGTTTTAATATTACTTTGTACTTTTCAATATATGCCCATTTAGGGTTGTAGGCAAGCAAATTATTATTGATAATTTAACCTTCTTTATTTTAAAAAAAAAGCAAACAAAAAGAAAGCATTGATACAGTAACAAAATCTGATTTAACTGCAGATCACTAGGAAGCATAAAGTAGTTCGAAGCCAATAATGAAGATTAGGCTGGTACACATCAAAACCATTCAATAGTCCTGAAGACATTTGAGCAATATGTCTATATACAATCTGCCACAGAATATAAGGGTGAAGTTTGCTCATTAACCAATGTCCTTCTGAGTGAAAAGGGGCTCATGAGATTAATTTACAATAGGTATCATAATTAGGGAGGATCACTTGTTCTTTCTGTTCAGATACTTTCAATACAGGGCAGAAGGGACATTCAGAGCATCTTTCAATAACACACGTAGAAGCTGAAGCTTCCCATCTCCCTGCTGAGACCAATCTGCCCCCTTCTTTCTCTGGATAAACTGTATCTTCCCAGAAATGTATCTTGGTTTGAAGATAAAGAATTGGAGAATCTAAGACTTCCTTCTCAACTCTCATATTCACCACAATTTTTTTATGGTTTTCTCTCAGCATTTAAACCCAGAAACTTTCAATTTTTTGTTAAAGCAATGTAGATATGGCGTCATATTTGTACTGCACCTTTAGGAGGAAAAACCCAAAGCTCATTCACTTAACTTCAAGCTGCCCTAATTTAAAATAATCTGTAATATTCCTATACAGTGATGAAAAAAACAAACAAAAAAATCTATCAATTACTATTTCTGTATTTTTTGAAACAATGAGAAAGGACAATTAAGAGCTAAGTGTCAATTGTGCCAAAATAATCACTTAGTGACAGACCCCACTCCACTCATCATAAGTGATATCATAATGCAGTATGTTTCAGGAGTCTAGAAATACATGAGCTCTGGCTAACAAGTTTTCTGTACTAAGAGAGAAAAAAAAAAGGCTTTCCTGAAACATCTAAAATGGAGCAAGTGAAATGACATATTAACACACCAGCATTAGGGATGAGAGAATGAAAGGAAACCACTTCCAATAAGTCTTCAATGGAGAAGGGATGGCAGACTGCAGCTAAGATTCCCTCTTCTTCAGGTCATCTTCCACCGCATCACTCTCATTCTTTTCATAACCTAATACACCTCTGCAGCTCTCCTGTCCACCCTGCCTTTACTGTTTTTCTGTGATCATTCTCCCTTCATATATCTTTTACTCCTCAGGCTCTCCGCTGCACCCCTCTCCTACATTCCTGGTTCAGTTTTGTTTTTTTTCTGCCTCTTTCCTGCCATAACACTGTCAGAGTTTCTCTGTTATTTCAACAACTCTGTCTGGGTTCACTTCTTCCATGACTTTCAAATCTTTCCCCTGCCTCCTCCTACTACTTTTTTGCATTCTGTTGTTTTGTCTGACATGACTCAGACACCCATTACTTCTTTACATATGTTGATGACACACCTTAACTTTTTTTCAGTAGACTAACAAAATGTTATTTTGTTAGTTGCCATTTATTTCCCTTGCTGGAAACTGAACAGGAAAGCTATTTAAAAGGAGCAGTTAACACCAATGTGAAAAAGAAACTATCAACAGTTTCTTGGATTGGTGAAATCTTTCTTAAATATCTAAAAAATTAATTATAAAGGAATGTAATACTTAAATTTAAAGTTCAAAAACCCTAAAAAAAAGTTTCAATATTAAAAACTAATTCTGATGAATGGGAGAAAAATGTAACTAGTTAAGGATCTGAAAAAAATAATATATTAAGTCAAAATAAATTCTATTATTTTTTCTCCACATAACCTATCATTTTCTCTTAAATAAATGAGAATCTGTAAGTTGGGATGACATTAAAAATTGATCCAAGTGGATTTCACACCCACATAGCTCATCAGACAACAAATAAGTGTCCTAATAACACTCCAAGTCTCTTATGAGCTATTAAAATAAAGCAGAAGGAACTGATGGAAAATACGAATGCAAGGATTTGCAAGCATCTCTCTTTTCCTTGCTTTCCTACAGGAGGCATCCGTGTGCCGCTGGAGCACCAGTAGGAAACAGCAGCGAGGGAGCCTCTGGAGGAGCCAGAAGGAAGGGGAAGGGTCCATAGGGTACCCTGGAAGCAGCCTGCAGATTTCCCCTCTCCTTCACCTTCATTTCAGGATAACTCCATTGTATTTTGTATGGGTTTGAATGGAGGACAAACGCTGTAAATGCATAATCTCTTACGCAGAGATTTGCCTGGGTAGTGATGCTACCATTGACTAAAACCAGATGGTTGAAGCCAGACAGTTTAAGCATTGGGCATTCCTGAAATCTCCAGTCTCTTATGGTTAAAAATCCCCCATACAAATAAATGGTCCCAAATACAATAGCACTCCAGAATGAAACTACTGCAACTGCAGTCACTGAAGGAAAGTAAATCCTTTCTATATCTATGTGAATTACTCCACCAGCAAATACCTGAGAAGTCTCACTGCCAGCATGACAGTATTGCCCCATGTTGGGTGGGACAAGAGAGGCAGCTGGCTAAAACTCTTAGAAGAATATGAGAATATTCCTTTTACCTGAAAGGAAACTCACTAATGCATGACTTTTTTCCCTGGAAACCAACAAGTTACACTCCAGATCAATTGGGAAGAAAAAGAGAATAATTGCCCAGATACTAAAACTCTAAAGGTATTTTCCATGTGGTTACAGGGGAAATTTCTACCTGCTTAGTTGCTGAACAGAGGACAAGCACTTCTTTATTTAGCCTGCATTGTGAACTGAAATACTTCCTTTGCTACAGCACCAGTGAATATATTTAACTGCATTGAAAAGGGTTAAATAAATTATGTATCTATAAGAACCAAAAAAAGCCTAGAACTGAAGGATTCTGCTATGAATCACGTATGTCTCTTATTTCCCCCTCACTTCTCTGCCTATGTTAGACAGCCCTCTAAACTGCTGAAGGATCTGAGAAGTGACATGGCATAAAAATTCAGCTTTAGCAGGGATGAGCTCAAACAACACTGAAGGCAACAAGTATGAAAGAAGGACTAAAAGCATTGTCTTTTTCAGCTTACTCAGTTACTGATCTCTCAATGATCTGTTGCTTTCTTAAAAGACTGATGAGCTTGAAATGCTGTATTTTGACCCCCTCAGCTTCCTCAATGAACCTCCTGCTGACAGTGTAGTCAGTCTGACCGAGTCTCCTGCTGCCACTCATGAAACCAGTCAATTGTGGTGCAGTTAACTACGGCTGGGAACTGCTGAGCAGTCTTTCTGTTTGGCACTGGTGGGAGAGAAACAGAATGATCTGCGGAGAGGAGGGAGGGAAAAGTGAGAGAAAACAATCCCACAGCAACTTGATGTAATCAAAGACAGGCACGCAATGAAAAAGAAGAAAAAGAAGAAATTGTTGGGGAAATAAGGAAAATGCAAGGGGAAAGAAATGGGCAAAAAGAAAATAGAGATGTTAGACATCATATGTTTTCTCCTGTCCTATCTTTAAAAAAGTACACAAATGTAGTAGTCATGAAACAGACACAAACAGCAGCGAATAGAAATATACATACACAAAGTAAACACCATTATTGACCATGTCACTGAAGTCTGGAAAACTGAAAACAATACGGAATATGTCTCTCATACAAGTCTCCACTGACCTTTAAGTTACAGAATAAATTTGTGGAGAGGCTTAAGTAATGGAAACAAATTTAGAGAGGAAGGCATATCAGCAAAACTAAAGCAGGATAAGAAAGAGAGATGATGAGGGGAAAAAAAGATGAAGTGATATGTTATAAAGTGTGATCACTTTAACACACAAGTATGAAGCAAACGTTCCTTTCAAAACATTCTCTTTCTAAGCAGTTAATGCTTTTCAGGCACCTAATTTTCCTGTCAGCTACATACATGTTTCAGGGGATGCATAAAACTGAAGCCTGCACAAACTGAAAGCTCCTAGAGATGCCACTCCAAAACTAGTGTTCCCAGCTTCTGCTTTCCAGCTTTCAAAAGAGAACTACAGTCTGCCTCAACATTTCCTCTAAAATGGAGTTTAAGAGAGACAGTTTTTGCAATTGTGATATCATGTTAATGTATATTGCTAAACTGCTTTCAACCTGAAAACAGCTACATGGATATTTTTATTTTCCCCAGTTTTAATTCCATAGGAAAAGTAGAGAGAATTAACATTTAACATGAAATTTCAATTATTATTCGCAAACGTTTAAGAGTTCACTACACATACAGAATTACTGTATGTGTGATTAGGTAACATATTTACAATTGCACTAACTACACCATTAACTCCTCACCAGCACCTCACTTCTATCTCAAATGCATTGTTATATTCAAAACATGTAAGACTATGAAAATAAGACAGAGCAGCTATGCAAGTTTCCTATGAACAGATCGGAAATCAATAATACCCAGATCTAGGAGTAAACCTCAGTGTACATAAAGCCTCCACCTGAAGACAGCTGTTATAGGGGTAACATGAGAGAGGCAAACTTTAGTGTCACATGTTAACGAGTAAGCATGTCAAGAAGAGTATGAGACAATTGAACCGTGTTATTTTGACCAACACAGCACTGCCTCTTGGCCCTGAAATACACCTTAAACTGCAGCCTCACTTGACTCAAGAACCACCTCTGGCAGCATTCTCTGGTGTCTGTTAGGCCCAGGGCTTGGACTTCTTTTCTAACTCTTTGAAGTTCAATGAAACTGCAGATAATTTGTCATTGGAAAAGACCTTTCAAGAAATGTTTTGGTTTAATCACCTGATGCCAGCAAGTCATCAATCAGCACAAGAAAGCGTTCATCTGAAACCTGGGCATCTGTCAGCAAAAACACTGTGGGCATGTTCTTGGCACTCGTCTTGATGTACAAACTGGCAAGATCTACCTGTAAGGAAAGGAGGCAATCATTTATATTCTGTTAAAACATTTATGCAGAAAAAGCATGAAATGCATGTTAGTCCATGAGCAGCAACACATTGCTGAATTCTCCTTGCTTTTTTTGGTTTATTTACATATCACTAATCTGCTGTATAAAATCCAAAGGGAAAAAACAGTTTGCTTCTGTTTTCCATATAAAACATTGAGGTTTTGACATGACAGTGGTAAAGATCAAAACAGATTAATAATAAAGGAAATCCCCTATGAATGTACTAAGAAAAAGAAAGGTATCGCAGCCACAGAAGTCCCCATCAAGAACAGCCATAAAACCATGCAGTAACATCTGGGAATTGCATCGAAGAGTCAGGTCAATTTCTGCAAAAATTTTTCATTTAAGTGAATATTTTAGGAAAGCTTTCTTTGGGTGATGAGGGTGGGCGGTAGGCAGGGGGAAAGGCTGAGTAATGCAGAGTAATATAGTGGTACAGCTATTTTTGCCATCACACATTGGTGGCCCAGAGAGAAACATGGCATGGGACCATTGTGCTAGCAGTGGTACAAACATGGAATGCTTTTTTGCACAGGATTCCAGAAAAAAAGAACACATATCAGTTGAACTCAAGTGCAGTTACATCTGAAATACAGAATAAGATCAATTCTGAGTGATGTGAACAACCACACAACCTACCAGAAAGCAATGCACAGGCTTGTTAACAGTGGCTTAGAAGTTTGCCCACTTGTAACAGCATGGGGGAAAAGGCCATCTGAGCCCACACCTTACACTGCACTTCATCTACCCAGGGAAGAAGGACACAAGAAGTTAGACACCATGTAAAACACTGAAGAACACACAGCACTTTTCCAACACAGAGCGGCAAATAGCTCCATCTGAAAACTGACACTTCAGGCTGCATGCACTGTTGTGGTTTGGCCCCAAGGCTAATAGAATAGCTTTTTGAGGACAACCATCCACCATATTTGACCATAAACAGATCTTTATTTAGTGGTGTCTGAGATTCAGGGTTAGGGTTAGGGTTAGGATTAGGGTTAGGGTTAGGGTTAGGGTTAGGGTTTTCACTTGTCCACATGGAATGAAGAGGAAGAAAATATTACCTCCTTCCCTGCTTGTTCACATATTCAGCCTTGCAAGGTCCTGAAGTCTGTAAACCTGATTGAGGACCTCTCTCAACTATATTCCTTATATTTGCACATGATCAGTTTAAGTGATAAAATGACTCACATGAAATGAGGGCAAAATTTTGTCCTGTGTTCACCCGCATCAGTTTTATGCTACAAAATCAATACATATGTAGTGACATCCAAAAATTTGTAAGAAATGGCTCACTTTAAATACCAGAACTCCAACCACATCTTTGAAGTGTGTGAGGTAGCTCCCTTGGAAAAAGTGGAGAAAGTAACAAAATTCTGTGCAGCATATAAACTAAAATATCTTTTGACCACCCATTTTTCAGATATAAAGAAAACAAAAGGTACAACTGGAAAACAGAGGAACCACAGGAGTTGTTACTGTAAATTATACTGTTTCGCCTGTGATTTTATCAAGCCTGTGCAACAACAAAACAACACATTCTTGAAGCAGTAAACTCACAGACTCGAATAATGTCTGTTAGTTTACCCTCAGGTATGGGATCCCATAGGTTTCTTGTGGTGGGATTTGAAAAACCTCCACAGAACAGATGTGTGCTGCCAGACTCGACAAGCCTTGTTTGCCAATACCACCTGCTCCATCAGAAATGCAAAACCCCTAGGTGCTTCTAGGATATGACTGATCCCGCACCTAACGACAAAAATCTAATAACGTAACACAGACTTCAACTATTTTGTCTATTTTTGTTATAATGTGTTCCTGATACTTTAATGTACATTATCTTCATATCAGCATTTTGTTTCTTTACAGTATTTGAGCTTCCAGAAAGAAAAGCTGTTTTCCTTTGTCAAATACTGAAGGTCTGCAGTGAACTCTACAATGACCAGAGCTCTCTGGTTGCTCATTCTTTACACTGAGCTGCTCCAAAGCATCATTCCAAGATCCTGATGGACCCAAACTGGAGTAAGAATAAAGATGTAGTTAGATTGAAGGAAGGTTGATGGGGCCCTAGGAGGACATGACAATTTCACATCTGGCAGTCTGCATGAAGAATATGCATAGAACTTTAATTTAATCATAGAATATCTAGCCTAGACTATTTCAGTCTTGCTTTTATTTACTGCTCATGGAATACCACAAAATTATGAGAATCTGACCCAAAATTAGAAAAAAATTTAGTTGCTGGAATGTTCAAATGTAAGCATTGAGGTAATTCAAACTATGTTTGAGGTATTAAAATAAATCTCTTGCAATTGATATTTTAATCATTTGTACAAGCACCTATAATTACTTTCAGAATTTCATTTTTTACATTCAGATGCAGATTCTAAGGGATTACAGCCTGGTATCAACAGACCAGAGAGTAAAGATAGCATGCTGGATCTTTTGCTTCATTTTTCTTCTGTGTATCAATGAAAAAAAAACCACCCCAAAGCAATCCTCTCATTCTCTTTATGTCTCACACCCCTGAAAAAACATTGATGAGAATCTTCTTAAATAAAGGGATAATATTTCTATTCTGGTTGCACATCTAACAAAGAGGTTCAGCAAAACCAATACCGGAAGCCAATTCTCTTTGTTTGACTTCACTGTAGAACTTTGCCAGCTTTTTTTTTTTTTTTAATGGATCCATTGTGAAATCAACATAAAAGGTGCTTGAGATGCCCAGGATTTAATTTCAGGTACAGTTTTCCAGGACTGCTAAATTGTAAGGCTGAGAAACTGTCACTTTGTTTGCTGAACTGGGATACTACTCTCAGTCTTTAGACTTCAGAGAGAAGATAAGGGCTTACCAACATTTTCAAGCAAGACTAGTAACACTTGAGAAGGCTTCTGTCTGCAATTCTCATGATTATCACAACCTCTGCATCAGCAGAACAAAATCTACAGTTTGTATGAAAGATCCATAGGATTATCTTTGTAATATAAACTACTTTTTAGTCCTCTTGGAAACTTCTACGTTAGACTGCTTTGTCAAAAGTGCCTTCTCTTATACAGCTCCTGCCTGAATATGTGTGAAGTGAAAAATGACACTGAAATCCTAGTCCAATGCAGTAAGAAGAAAATGTTCTGTGTTAAATTATCTGACACTACAAATAATAGAAACTGGTTTAACAAAACTAAGCTCTGCCAGCATGGGCCTCTGTCTCCTTCTGGAAATCACTGATATAACACATGACCAGAATGACTGCTGAAGTCATGTTGAAGAAAGATTGAAACATCTTCAATGATGTTGAAGAAAGATTACAAAAAAATGACAAGGGGCAACAATGAAGTCTGTACCTCACTCACTCAGCAAAATCTTGATTTCGGCTTCTGAAAACTGGCTGGTTTTCTTCCATGCCTGAAACCAAAGCAAATGTAGTTAATCAGATTTCAAAACAGAAATTTAGATTTTTGGGCAATGATGGATACTAAGATGTTGCCTGACGTGAAAAAAAAACAAATTACACTGAACTGAAACAAGGTAAGACTACATAGGAAAAAAATCTATAGGAAAATAAAAATAAAATAAAAAGTCAAAACTAAACTGAATCTATGATGACACTTAGAAGTCTGGGCTGGTTTAGGTTTTTAAAAGCACAGGGTTAAGCAGCAAAATAACCAACTCTGCAATGCTGTGGTATTAATCGAGGTATTACTTGCCCTTTTCTGAATTAATGTAATTTTATAAGAACTTTCACTTTCTTGGAAATGAAACTTATTTTCTTTTTTAACAATCAAACATACATATGTTTAATCTGGTCATCTTAGTTAATGTTTTTGCTATGTTTTGTTTGCTGCAAAATGAGTACTCTTGTAAGTGAAGAGTTTTTGAAGAACAAGTAGAAACATTTTTGTGGTTCTTGCTAGTTAATCCATCCTTGACACTGGCACTAACACACATTAATTCCAGAAGAAACTATACATGCACTGGTACTATATCATCTATGACATTATTTTGTCTTTCTTGTGCCATATTTGATACCGTGAGCAATACTGAGAGGTACTAAAATTCAAATTTAAAGAAATAAGAAGCATACATAGTAAAACTTAACAGAGAACATTAAGGCAAAGGAACTTATCAAATTAGGATTGATATTTAAAAAAAAAGACAAACACCACAATTTCTATCACATAATATTTTGTTCTACTTTTTTGTTGAAATGAAGATATTGTATTGTCACAAACATTCTGATGATGATTGAAAGATTTATTTTTTTTTAATGGAACTAGCTCCAAACTTGGATGAGTACAACATGGTCAAAGGAAGTTCAAACCAATTTGAGAATGCACACAACCATCAGAGTTAAGAGCAGACAAAATTAACAGCAAGGATCATAAGAGAGTATGAGGTGGCATGCCTTGATTTGCAGCATGGTCCAACAGATATTGTTTCTGGCTGTCCAGGTGACACAGCTCCAGGTGAATTAAAAAGGAGGCCACTTCAAAAAAAGAAAGAAAAACGAGATATTAAATTGAGGCTTTCAGTAGCTGGTACTTTGAGTTCCAATTGCCCAAACCTGGAGACAGTCTTGATTTGTTAAAAGTTAGTGTACAACTGAAGTAGACCAAACAAGTACCATCTTTAAAACAAAAATCCCAAACACTGCAAAAGGATATCTCATAAGTAATGCAGCCATTCCCTGTTTAAATCAACAAAACCTCCCCAAAAATTCATAGTATAAGGCGTTCTCCTACTTTCCATGCATTTGCAACAAGTTTTACTATATTTTAGAATTCTCAAATTATCATTTAAAATTCCTAACAAGCCAAATTTTTTTCCTAATTTAATCTGTTTGTAAAATGAGGATTTTTAATTTTTGGTTTGGTTTTCTTTCTTTTGAAACAATTAAAAAAAAAAAAAAAGAAACATCAACAGTTTTAAACAGATCTTTTAAGATCTGAAGCTTGAAATA